AAAATTTGGGGTCAGGGCCGGAAAAGATTTAAGGGCGGGGGAATCAAGATCCCAGGTGCCAACCCCCCCCCCCCACCCCCCCAGGTCTTGTGTTGACATTTGGGGCAGGTTTTTCCTGGGGAAACCACCACCGTCATCCGGGGGCCTTCTGTAAAATGGGAGCGTAGTGCCTTCCCAGCAGGTGGTTGTGAAGCTTTAAAGGAAACATGTTGGAACATGTGGCCGGGCCCAGCACGTGAACCCTCGAATGTTACTGCCTGCCCCCCTCGGGTTCTTCCTCCCGGAGGCCTGTGTTAGCCTGTGCACCCTTCCGACTCGAGGAAGCCCATCCGTCAGTGTTTCAGAGGACTGAGAAGGAGAATCAGTTATGCGATGGACTGTGTGATGAGGAACTCTCGGAACCGTATAAGGCCGTGGTTCTCAACCTGTGGGTCGCGACCCTTTCACAAGGGTCGCCTGAGACCATCGGAAAACACATATATAATTACATGTTGTTTTGTGATTAATCACTATGCTTTAATTATGTTCCACTTGTAACAATGAAATTGGGGGTCACCACAACATGAGGAACTGTATTAAAGGGTCGTGGCATTAGGAAGGTTGAGAACCACTGGAAGTGTTTCTAATCTGAATTTGTATCAAAATAACCAAGCACTCTTCGAGAGACAAAAATGATAACATTCAAGACACGGTGACAAGTGATAATCCGTTTTAGAGCCACCTAGACATGATATCAGGAAGCTAATTTTAAAATTTATGATATAATCATTAATCCCTAGAAAACGTCTAGTTGTCAGCGTAAAAGTCTATCAAACTAAGACCAAACCCTAGTTGTCATATTTTACCAACTTTATCTCTGGGTGTTAATATGTACCTGGGACTTAAGTCAGCTCACCCAGGCATCTTACGGAAATCGTTCAAGCATTACTGTCCAGGGAAAACGTAGGGGAAAAGTTTAGTTTTCCCAGATGATGAATTTGAGAAATCCATGAATCATGATCCAAGCACATGGCTCGTTACATTCGAATGCCCCTGGGCATCTTGCTTTTCACTCCAGAGGAAGGCTGTGGTGGTGTTCGGAACCGCTCAGGTGTCTGTGTGCGCTTGGTTGGACTGTGGCATGCTGGAAGGGGATGGTCGTAGTTCAGGCCACATGGGAGCCGTGGGTCTGTGCTGTGACTTCGGACAAAACCATTCTTTATTCCTGGCAGCCTTACAAAGCCGTGCCGTTGGTCATGATGGAGAAGTGGACAGGAGAGGTGTACCCTCAGGACAGATCTTTCACAACGATACCTCCAGTGCATTTCCCTGGAACTGTGGAACAGTACTGTCATTGCATAGCAATGATGTTGTCTAATAGCTGTTATATAACTCACGTTGAATTTTTACCATCTGGGTCAGCAACAATTTGAAATCTTCTGTAATTTGTAATTACTGGCATATTTGTAGCACGAGGAAGATAAGCTCTGTAGGACTACACCATTTAAACAGAATTTTGTGAAAAATTGAAGCCAGAAAATTAACCTGGCTCAGATCCATTCAGGTGTTAGGAAACAGATAGGAAACACTTTCATAATTTGTCAGATAAATGGCACCTGCCAAATGTTCTAGTGGCCACTTCTACGTTTCCTGCTTCTTTCCTGACTTGTTAATAACTCCCAATCCTGAAAGCTACCACCCTTGCTGCGTAATTGTTCCAGGCCTTTTTCAGCATCTTAAATCAGACATCTAAAGCCATCTCTTTTTGCCAAACACAGTCATTGTCTTTTTTTTTACATTTTGGAACCAACAAAATCATAAATCATAAGCAATTATTTGTCTCTGGTCTTCCAAAATTTTTCATTTCTAAAGTAGATTGATTACTATCAATCATAATTATTATATTCAGAGAAACTCTGGAGTTCAGTTTTAAGGAATAAGAATTGAAACTCTGTGCCAAATCCCCTCTGCCTCTTTTAAAAGAAAATTCACGGCCAGACTTTAATATATAGGATATGGATATGGTCTGATGTTGAATATTTAGATCTTTCATCTATAGATTACTATAAAGTAAGTTCTGTTTTATTATTTCCTGGCTAATTTTTACAAGACATCTTTATATTCATCAGACACCAATAGATGTTTTAGAGAAATTATTCTTGCCCTCAATGTTAACAGTTTAAGTTCAATGCCATTCACGATATTCACTTTATTGTAAATGAGTACCTTATGTCCCCAAATGTCTGACAAAGACTTCAGATGTCAGCAAGGGACAAACATGCCACCTGGCTTGGCAGCAGACCTCTGAGGAAATTTCATTAATTTTATGCAGAGGCACACTATAAGAAAGAAAACAGACTCTGTCCTTAATACACACTTATTAACTTACTGAGCCAAATCTACATTGTAGATTATTTTGGAAGCTTGCAGGACAGGTTGAAAATATTTTAGTGGATGAAGTTCTGCAGTGTCTTCATTGTTATAGAATATCTATGGGAAACTTGCAAAACAATTTTTTGGCCATTTCAGATACTCTTTTTCTTGGTAGTAGAAAATGGCTGTCTTATTCGTAAAAACTACCGTGCAGTTATCACCTATCATTTTGTTCAGCTTCCTTTTTATAGAATGTCTAAAATAACACTTCTGGATTTCTTTCACATATTAGGTCATTTTACTTAGACTTACCTTTTATGTCCAACACAAAGGAGGAACTCTCTCTTAAAGGAAAAATTCAGTTACCTTCCCAAGCACAAATAAGAAACCATTGCTCTTTTACGGCTAGTTGATACAGTTGCTATTACCACTCTTATTTTCTGTGGGAATGTCCAAAGAATGCATTTCCTTGAATAGAAGTCACAGCTGTGTAAATAGCAAAAAAGTTTAACTTTTTATCCTGTAGCTTCTTTCAACCACATTTGGCCAGTAAACCAAAACTAGATAAAGCTCCACACGGGAGGCTTGTGGAAGAGCCTTGTCATGGCTGTCACATCTTCTCTAGGCCGCAGTCACGAGTGCAGCACTTTTCTGAACATCACAGCCAGTTGTTTGGGCCGGTGTTTCAAAGTATTCAGTTGCTTTCATCTGGGTGATAGTCACTGTTTGGAGACTGTGCAGTGATATTCAGCCTGTGTCCCTTTACTAATATGATTTCTTAATCCCAAGTTTTAACCTTTATGTAGAAGCTGTAATGTTTCAAAGTAAAAAATAAGGGGAGGACACCCGGCTGGGTGTGCTCAGTGGATTGAATGTTGTCTCATGGACCAAGGGGTCCTGGGTTCGATTTCTAATCAGGGCACACGCCCGGTTTGTGAGCTCAATCCCCTGTGGAAGGTCTGCAGGAGGCAGCCAATTAATGATTCTCTATCATCATTGACGTTTCTCTCTCTCTCCCTCTTCCTTCCTCTCTGAAATCAATAAAATATTTTTTAAAAAATAAGGAGAGGTGATCAACCAAAGAACTTGTATGCATAAATGCATAACCCATGGACACAGACAACAGGGTGGTGAAGGCCTGGGGTGGGGGAGGGGCAGGCTGGAGAGGGTCAATGGGAAAAAAAGGGGGACAAATGTGATACTTTCAACAATAAAGGTTTAAAAATAAAATATAAGGGGGAATATGTTACATGCCTTAGTTATCTAGACCAAGGGTTAGCCAACTTTTTCTTAAAGGACCAGATTGTAAATATTTTAGGCTTTGAGAGCTGTGAGGCAAAAATCAAGGTTGTTATGTAGGTAATTATAACCATTTAAAATGTATCCGTTTGGAAATGTAAAACCATTCTTGGCTCCTGGGCCATAGAGAAACAGGCGGCAGGACTGAGGGTGGCCAGCAGGCCGTATGCTTGCCAGCCCTTCTCCAGTCATACCATCCCTCACTAACAGAAACCCTGTTCTTTTTTCTCTCTTTCAGCCACATGCCTGGGGATTACGGAGTGATGGGTGACGATGGCTCTATTGATTACAGCGTTCATGAGGCCTGGAACGAAGCCACCAATGTTTACTTGGTTGTCATCCTCGTTAGCTTTGGTCTCTTCATGTATGCCAAGAGGTAAATCTTTGAGTACTTCAGGGGAGATAAGAAACTGGGCATTTAAAAGCTCTGCAGGTTTGATTGTTTGATCTGAATTAAACGCACAAAAATAATGTCATCAACATTTTTGTTCCTGCTCTGATAGCACTGTCTACTTGTGCCCTTGAGCACTGGGCACTAAGGTTTGGCTTGGAAAACCCTGTTGCTTTAAGAGGTGGAGATTTAAGTGCAGCCCTTGGCACCCAGCCCAGCTCACTATACTCCCATTCTATCATATCTAACACAGCTCAATTTTATCACCCAGCCTGTGTTCACTGGCACCCTTGGATGAGCACACATGTTGTCCCATGTCCCTAAAATGCAGACACACTAACTCCTGTGTGTTTAGCAATTCTCTCTTTGCACATTTTAAGCGTTCCCTTCTGTTTCCTGTGCAAGACTATTTCATAGCACTTATCCTATATAATAAAAGGGTAACATGCAAATTGACTGGACAGCGGAACGACCAGTTGCTATGACACGCTCTGACCACCAGGGGGGCAAACGCTCAACGCAGGAGCTGCCTCCTGGTGGTCAGTGCGCTCCCACAGGGGGGAGCGCTGCTCAGCCAGAAGCTGGGCTCACAGCTGGCGAGCCCAACAGCGGTGGCGGGAGTCTCTCCCACCTCTGCGGCAGCGCTAAGGATGTCCGACTGTCAGCTTAGGCCCGCTCCCCACAGGAGGGTGCAGGCTGGGCAGAGGAACCCCCCCCCCCGCCCCCCCAGTGCACAAGTTTCGTGCACCGGGCCTCTAGTTAAACAATATTGGTATTATTCTGATTACTTGTCTATTCCACAAAAACTTCAGTCCCTTGAGAACAGGCCTGGTGTGTCACATAGTGTAAATTCTCAATAAATATTTCCTACTTTAATTCTAGATTCCGTAGCATAATGTAACTGTTCTCTCTCCTTTCCTTTTGTGGGGGGTGAGGGAGGGTGGGGAGGGTGGCGAGGGTGGGGAAGCTGCTTTGAAAAGGAAAAGCACTATTAGTTGAACTGAGTTGCTTCTGCTTATAGGCACATGCTTCATGGTATCCTCTGCCAAAGTCAAAAAGACAGTAGATAGCTCAAACTAATTAGTAATCCAGAAATTACAGATGTTTGGTCTGGGGAGTAGCTCAGAGCCTATATTTGCTCTCAGACATGCAGGCTCATCCTTCCTAGCTGCCTGAGCCCTGAAGCAGCCCACCCATTGGCTGTCTAGACTGTAGGGGATGGGTGAGGGAAGGCTCTACATATCAGCACTGGCCCACTTGCAAGAAACCATGTTCCACTAAAAATAGCCACTGCCTCCTCCCCACCCCACAGTTTTAAAAGCAGGGGCACTGTTATCAATTTTAAAAAGATGGCCATACAGAAGCTCCACTGAAGTCATGCTATTGTATACAAGAAATATGCGTATCCGTCATTTTCCAAAGTTAAGGTCTGCTCACATTTTGTTTATTGTAAAACCCAGAAAGTTACCTTTATTTGGAGGACATGAGAGGGAAGGGAAAAATCAGATATTTTCTCGTTTATGCATTTTTCCATAGAATACTTGGCTTTTGGAAGGGTAGGGAGTGAAAGCACAATAGAGGTACATCACTGTTGTGTAAAGTGGATTGTTCGGCTACTTTTCTTTTGTATATCCCTGTGGCTATACATATACAGCTTCATACTTTTTAAAAATACGTTTTTATTGATTAAAAGAAAAAGAGAGAGGGAGAGAGAGAGAGAAACATCTATTGGCTGCCTCACAACTGGGGATCGAACCTGGGCCATATGCCCTGACTGAGAATCAAATTGGCGACCTTTTGGTGCATGGAGTGACGCTCAAGCAACTGAGCCACAGCGACCAGGGCATACAGCTTCATACTTTTTAGTGAAAGAAAGAATACCTGCCCTAACCGGTTTGTTTCAGTGGATAGAGCGACGGCCTGCGGACTGAAGGGTCCTTGGTTGCGGGCACATCCCCAGTAGGGGGTGTGCAAGAGGCAGCTGATCCATGTTTCTCTCTCATCAATGTTTCTAACTCTCTATCCCTCTCCCTTCCTCTCTGTAAAAAAACCACTAAAATATATATTTTTTAAAAAAAGAAAGAATACCTGAGCCAAGGAAGCATCCACTGAGACAAAATAAAAGATGGATTCCTTGCCACTTAAGTCCTTAAATGTAGTTTCCGATCACAACGATCCTGAGAATATTATAGTCCTACTAGAGGCCTGGTGCACAAATTTGTGCACTGGTGGGGTCCAGCCCACCTGCCCCGATGGGGGCCGATCGGGGGCGGGGCTGGCCGGGGCAAGGGCCTGCAGGTGGTTTGCCGGCCAGCCCTGCCCCTAATCAGGGTGGGGATCCCCGTGGGAGATGGGGCCAGCTGGGGTGAAGGGCCATGGTCATTCCGGTGGTTCTGCCATTCGGTCACTGGGCTTTTATTACATAGGATAGGTATTAATACAGATCTCTCTTCTGCATTGGTTTTGTGTTTCAGGAATAAAAGGAAGATTATGAGGATATTCAGTGTGCCACCTACAGCAGAAACTTTGTCAGAGCCCAACTTCTATGACACAATGAGCAAAATTCGCTTAAGACAGCAACTGGAAATGTATTCCATTTGTAAGTAGATTCTGTGCTTTACTGTATACAGAAGCATGTTTAAAGTAGAATTTTTGGAATTAAACCCAGTTAGTAAAAGGTTATCAGAAATAGTTGATGATGAAACCCGAGTGCCCTTTTCAGATGCTCATCACAGTGATAGCCAAGGAGGTTTGCATGAAGTCAATGCTTCAGGACCCTGTGCGTGTACGGGCCTTTCCAAGACTCTGAGAAGAACCCTAGGAATGAATACATGGGGTCGTACTTTTGTAAATTTTGCAAAAAATTAGCTATTTTAATAATCAGTTGAGATTGCTATCTCTTCCTACTGTAATTTGCCCTCCTTTGTACCCCCGTCCCTGCGGAACAGCATGAAAGTGGTCAGGAACGTTTGGTAGAATCTACGGGAAAGTTGAGTTGGAGCTACTTTTAGTTGGGTTTTGAAGTTTTATTTATGGAATTTGCAGACAGTCTCTTCTATTATAAGTAAATTACTGCAAGCCAAAGCAGAAAGGAATGGCTTCCAGGAATATGGCATGTGATATTAATGTGCAAGGCCAGGGGTCATATCTCCATATTAACCCTTTGCACTCCACTGTCCCCTCTCAGGGGACATCGGAATTCTAGCATATCACTCGGATGTCCCCTCTCAGGGGACATTGCAGTTTATTAGTGATTACGGGGAATTGAGTTATTTCAACGCAACTTTTTGAGACATGCATGTTTCCCTGAAGTTTTATCTTGAAATGGCACAAGAAATTAAATCAAAATATCGTAAAATTACTAAGATATATACAAGAAATGTCAGCGGGTTTTGTGTCGGATTAAACAATAAACTACATATTCCCGATGTGGGACAAAGAAAACGGGACTGCATTGTGTGTTTTAACAGGAAAACACCTGGTGGCAGGCGTCAAACCACTTATTACTGTCAAACATGCACTAATCAGCCTGCAATGCATATTGGGGAGTGTTACAAAACTTATCATACTGTACAAAATTATAAACAATAAAATACTGTTTTTTTTGCAAATATACATTCCTTGATGTCACCCAATTCATATAAGTCCAATATCATTATAATACGTTACTTGGTTCCAAAATTATACTAAATAATACGAGGGTCTGTAAATGCACGTTTCCGCCGCAAAGTAGCGTCGAGTAGCTGGTAGCCAATGTCCAGAATGGTTCGGAGTGCAAAGGGTTAATATGTTCAATAGTACTGAACACGGTGACTATGTAGGTGGTGGGGAAGAAACAAAGTTTAAAATGTACGGCGTCAGAGAAACCAAGATGGCGGCATAGGTTAACGCTGGAGTTTGCTGCCTCGAACAACCACTTCAAAATTACAACTAAAAGATGGAACGGACATCATCCAGAACCACAGGAAGGCTGGCTGAGTGGTAGTTCTACAACTAGAAGGAACCGAGAATCAGAGGATGCGCAGTGCTGAAGTAAAATACTAAGGTGCGGAGTGTGCGCAGCGCGGGCTGGTGGCTGAGGGCGCGGTTGTCTGTTTCAATCCGGAGGGAGCCTCAGACTCTGAGCTCCAGATCCGGGCGAGTCTCTAGGGACCCAGACTCAAACGGGAGAAGCGGGACTGTCTGGCTTCAGTCCCTCCGAGGTTTGCAGCGGTTGCTGGGACAGAGAGGCAGAGCCCCTGGGGATGGACTGAGAGCAGCCATAACTGCTCCCTCCTCCGCCCTGTTGATCCTGTGGGACCCGCCCCGCCCAAGCCCTGCACAGAGCCATTTGCCGGATAGCCTCAGGCAAAGGCTAGATGAGCACCTCCCTAGAGGACAGAAGTTCTCCCACTGCAAACACAGCTGATTCTCACAGCCAGTTGGCCTGGAGGTCAAGTAGTAATTACCTACAACAATCAAGG